GGAAGAGGTGGGATTACCCACACTTTACCCCACCACAGGCGAACTGCTTTATGGACTAACTGCGGTGTATCCAACTATACTGCTGGATGGACAGAGACGGGGAATTTATATTTATAATTGCCCATTCATTCAGCTATCGTGCCAGGAGATTCAACCGGCCACCTCCGGATTGCAACTACATCGCCATTGTTCGACCGGTGGCATCCGGAAACATCCCTTTTGACAATTAACTGCTGGATTAGCCCCCCCCCCCCAACCATGACCAACCATACTTCACCACGTCGGTCAGTGCGGGTTGGTGAAGGTGGGGCGCAGATCCGCGGGATCATAGAAGTACGTTACAACGCCAGATATTTTTGTTTTTGCTTTGCTGCATGGCCCATAATGATGTGGCACAATCTCGTGAACCACCGATGGCAACTTGACGTCCGTGGTGGTGGGTGGCCACCCATCCCATCCAAGCACTATTCGGGCTCAAATTCTGCTTAGCTTTCGAGATCTCATGAGATCGAGCGCATTCCTGGTGATTTGCTCATTGACTTTCTGTGTCTGTGTGTGTAGATATTGTGGGGAACGGTGGTGTAGCGGTTAGAACGCTGCGCTACGAACCTCGCGAGCCCGAGTTTGATTCCCGCTCACGACCAACAACAGTGACGGTTATCTGAACCGGTCCTGGGCTTCCTCCCCTAGGTCGACTCAGCCTCAAATGAGTACGTGGTGCGGTGTGTAAACATCGCCACTGGGGAGACAAAGGCGGCCGGGCGTGGTGCTGGCCACCCACCCCCTCGTGTGCCGTGCCGGCTTTCATAGGTGCTCGCTAACAGCACTTGCCCCAAAAGTACGTTGAGGCTATACGGGAGGGCTTTGTCTTTGTACTTATAAACACACGGAAGTGGTCTTCCCACAGCCACGAGCAGCATCGACCCCGTTTAAGGCAATGATTAATAGGGGCACATCTCAAATCGCATTGCTTGTCATGCTACTGAACGCCCGGCTATTGTTTTTGATGTGAAGTCAATACCCGCTTATCGGCCTTGATACCAAATGGCACTCCTAATTAAATGCCGCTCATTGGCGGGCAGCTGGGGCTCAAGTTGAGGCCATCATCCCCATTATATCCTGCAGAGGCTTTGCGTGGCGTTTCTCTGCAACGCAATGAAGGAAGTGCAGGGACAAATCTACAGCCGAGCCGATGCTGTGGACGAGGGCTGTTAAACACGTGCGTGTGTGTTGTGTGCACCATGAGTTTATTCCGCGCTGGACTTGCTTGGAATTTGAGGGAGCCACGGTTCATGTTATGAATGTATTCTCCAATACACCGCTGTGGTAAAGCAGTAACAAAAACATTGGCACGTCTGTGCACGTGACGGCTTCATGAATTGGCTGTCTCGGGGTGGAGGGGGGTGATTTACGACACGCGTTTTACTTAGGCCATCTGACCCAAACATCAATTATGAATGCACTTATTTTATCCACGAAATTACCGCGCGGAGTATAAATGCACATAGCCAAGATTGTCGTAGTAAATTTCATTTTTTATTTAAAATCCAATGTAAAAACCCTTGTTTGTTGTTTACAACCGTGAAGCTATTAGAATTAAAAAAAAACCCGACTCATGCAAACACAGTGGCCGTAATATTTAAAATGACATCAGCAGTATGCACTTTCTTTCTTTTTTCCTGCAAGCATTTCAGTTTAAAATATATTCATCTGCTCAAACGATTTTTTAAAGAAAAACTTAAGCCGCCAAACACGTTCGCCTCGCCGTTCGGTTAAAGCAATTTATGCACGCAGCCCAATCGCTACCATTTATTACCTGATTATTTAGTGCCATCAGGACATTCCTATTGGAAAAACCCAAGGTTGGTTAACCACACGGGCAAATCACGCGAACGCACATCCGAGCTTCAGTGACAATGCACAGTTTAAAAAAAAGACATTGTTTTAATGCGTGTGCATGTGTGCGCGGACACTCACACACACACACAAGCCCATTACGATCATTTGACCAACCGATGATGCCCTGTACTCGATCTCTGCAATGTTTATCTTCTTTCGCTGCTGCTGCTATACTCAAGCAACAACACGGATCTCGCGTGTAAAATAGCCAGGAAACTTGCTAAACTCGGACAATCCGCGTAACAAATCAAATACACCCAGACACGGACCCGATACATGTACTAGAGGAAGTGTGTAAGAAAAACGCGGTTTTTTTTCGCGGAAAAATATGAGATATGGGTGCATGAGGTTACGTAAAGTCTAAATTCTATTGCAATCCACTCATTTGCAATCCCACAGAGAATGAAACTGCACTTTAGCCACCCGGTTGTCCAATGCTGAAGCTCATCTGCAATCACTTATGAAGAAGACACGCAGAGGTTACAACACATTTCATTGACACTGCCCCATTCCAGGTGTTCTGCGGATTTTAAGACGCTCTGGAAAGTCAGACATGCCCCCCTAAAAAAAGTCAGACACGACCCCCTAAAAAGGTGTACCCCAAGCCAATAAAGTTATACAGATTCGGTCACACACCAACATACCTGCCAGATTATATAATACCGGTGCCACAAGGACGATCAATGTGTCTTATCGTAAATAGGTGATTGGCAATACAGGAATGTAACGAATATGTTTAAGGCACTTATTTATAATCCGACCGCGACGTTTCAAAAGCCTTATTGCTCAACCTAAACTTATCCAATGTTCAGTAGTCATTAACTACGAGTAGTCTAACAGTAATCGGAGTAATTATATTATGCGTGAGCGGCTCTCAGCTCAATGTTTTCTCAGTGGTAAATTAACGCCACCTGCTGGCATCTTTTTAAAGTTTTCGGTGTTGAATTGTGTGTAAGCAACAATGAGCAGTCATTCGTAGTTATTTCCTTAGAAAATAGATCACACGATGTGTTGTACATCGGCAGCCCTTCGTCAATCCACTGCTGGATGAAGGCCTCCCCCAAGCCATCACTATCATCATCAGCCATGGTCAATCCACTGCTGGATGTAGGCCTCTGCATGCCATCCGGTACCGGCTGCAAATAATTCTTACCAAACTTATCCACCCTGGTGCACCTTAGATACAGTTCGATACAGTATATTTGATAATTGTGCAACCTAAAACAATTTTCGTAAAAAGTTTCAGCATTTCATAATCTGATTGTGACATTTTCAGTCTACGTAAATATATAAGGACTCCTCTACTTACGAACATTCGACTTACGAACTTTCAGAGATACGAACAAACCTGGTCCGTGTGTCCAGTTGCCTGTTTGGACCGAGAGTCGTAAGTTCAACCGCCGCGCAATAGATGGCGGTGGTGGCATCTACATCTGCAGAACGTGAAGAACCAGTGGCATCTACATCTACAGGAGGTTATACAGCTTTCTTGGTTCTTTCGGTAAAGTCACGTAGAAGGGAAATAAAATAATAAAAATAAAACATAATAAAATAAATATGCTTTATTTTTATTATTTCCAAGAAGATGAATCCCTGCAGTCACGAAAGCTTTAAATCGAGATTAACCAACTTTGAAAGCCATTCCCCGTGTTTAGTGTACACGCCGTACAACACGTTTGGAATCGACAGGAGTAAGGTTGGACTTACAAACAAACCTCTGGAAGCCGAACTCGTTCGTAAGAAGAGCAGCCCCTGTATGCTCACAAATCTATGTAAATTCGTGATTATTGCTTATTGCTGTATTAACATATATAGCCGGCTCGTGGATTAAACGTTAATATTAAAGTGTTTAGTTAATTATGAGGTCACCTAAGGGGGAGACCGAGTGTAGTCCATTCGCTCTTTGTGAATACGGGCGTTCCTACATGCGTCATGCGACGCTGCACATCAATCAAATAATGCACGGTTTGTATCGTCAGCGATTGTATACATTACAGTAAAAACGCATTAGCCTTGATTGCATTTGTTAAGACAAGCAAAGCCGTATTTAAATAACGTTACATAAATTTCAGCAATGCTTGTTGATATTCCACCGCGTTTAACGTTTTATAACGTAAGTAAAGTTTGTCATTTATAATCAATAACTTTAAAACATTTATGAATTTTAACACTACAATATGAACCAGTTTAAGAGACAGTTCTAAGTCACCCTGAGGCAAGACTTGACGGGTCAGATTCACATCTTGGCAATGGCGGAGCCAGGATTTTCAGGTAGGGGGGAAAACCCCTGCAGCAATGAAAAATTATAGAGGAGTTGTTAGTAAGTAAGGAGTTGTTAGTAAGGAGTTGTTAGTAAATAAGGACTTGTCCCTTGCTTTTTATTCGACGCCTGTGCAGCGATGGCGCAGCCATCGATCGAGGGTCGAATTCGAACCGTGTGTGACCGGCATCGCGCTCGCTGAAGGAGTTTGCCTTCAGGGAAGTCGTGGACTGTATACGCAACTGCGCACCATTCTGTGAGTCACTTATAACTGCTTTGCCGTTACTTAATGCCAATTATGGGCTCAGACTATTGTCCTATCATCTCATAGAGTCCCTGGCACATACAGTAATAATATGCTACACAGTGGCAGTGGGGGTCGCAAAATGCCAATTTGTTACTAATAAACCCCAATGACCCGATCGAAATTAGGGATTTAGATCAGATCATTGGGGGGGGGGGCACGTGCCACCGCCCCCCCCCCTGCCACTGGCTCCGCCAGTGCATCTTGGCAGAATGGTTAGAAGCCTTGGCAATGTGCCGCGTGGTCGGTGACGGAGACAACCGTGGCGTTTCCAACAAAAATAATTGGACGACAATGAAGCACTCACCACAGCCCCTGAATCTGGCCCGATGTCTTCGACAGTTATACTTAATCAAGTTGTGTTTTTATACAAAACACATTCGGTCATAGTAAAACGCTTTGGATAAACTCAATGTATTTTTTTCGTCGGTCCATCTCAAATACAAAATTCCAGTTATAGGCCGCATGATAATCTTTTTTTTGGTCAGCCATTGTTACGAGAAGGCACTGCAAAGCAATCCAACTCCTTGCTTTGCCTTTTTTTTTTGCTGAACTCCACATGCAAAATGTCTACGGCGTTAAAACCAGCACATATGTTCAATCGTGAACAGTCATGGCCAGAAGCATTCATAAAACTTCACCCTTAGGAACCCTCCTCAGTCCAATCCTCCTTTTAACAACAATAAAAAAATCATCAAACCCCAACTAGACGGGGGATGTTTTGTCTTTGGTGGTGGCAGTAGCGGCGGCGGTGATGGTGCCCCCCCACCCCCCCGCCCCAGTTCCTCCCGACCGCGCCTCACATCTCCCGCCCCAGCATGGCGATCCCCCGCACGTCGGCGTTTTCGGGCTGCGAGTCGTGGTCCCGGTCCGAGTGGAACTCGGCCCACACGGGGCAGTGGTCGGACGCGACGCCGCCCCAGGTCCACCCGTCCGGGATGAGGTGGTGAGAGAGGCCCTGACGGACCACGCACCAGCCACCTGCGGGCAAACGGCGGGGCGGACGCGAGGCGCGCCAGTGATTCACAGGACCGGCGGTTGAGCGGCGACCAAATTGGAGGGAGGGATGTCAACGGTGAAGACGGAGGGATGGTATCGGCTCCATGTGCATGTGCTTTGTGGATTGTTACATCGCAGATCCCTGAGAGATGTTCGTGGATTAGGGAGGTCTTGATGATGAATGAGTTACCACTCCCGACCCTACCACTGCCAGTCGACGAACTGTTACAATTCTGGGTTGTGATTCGATTCAACAATTGATTCGTTTTGTTTTATTCGACTATACCGTTTGTATTGTTTCTCACCTGAAACCTCCCATCCACCCGGCCACCCAGCCTCCCACCTAACCACCCACCCAACCACCAACCCACTCAGCTGTTCACCCAGCCTCTCAGCCAATCATGCACCCAGCCACCAACACACTCATTCACTTAGCCACCCACCCACCCAACCACCAACCCACTCAGCTGCCCACCGAGCCACCCGGACGATCATGCAACCAGCCACCAACACACTCATCCACTTAGCCACCCACCCAGCTACCCAAACCCACCCAGCCACCCACCCAGCCACCAACCCACTCAGCCAATTAGCCACCTACCCAGCCACCCAAACCCACCCAGCCACCCAGCCACCAACCCAGCCAACAAAACCCACCCGGCCACCCAGCCACCCACCCACAAACCCAGCCAACCAAACCCACCCGTCCACCCAACCACCCAGCCACCCACTAACCAGTGTACAGGCCCTGCGCGGCCGGACTGAGCCACACGTTGTCGTAGGACTTGGAGCCGCTGAGGTTCTTGATGCTGATGTTGGTGAAGACGTCGGCGGGGACGCAGCTCTTGAAGCCCTGCGAGCGCAGAGCGTCAAAGTCGCTCGCGTCTGGCGTCAGGTTGAAGTCCCCCAGCAGCAGCGTGTCCTTCTCGCCTGCTCACAACATAATAATACTTTCATTTTATATTCCGTCATTAATGCTAATAGCATCCCACAACGCCGTACATAAATTATACATGAGAGACCAAATCCCATATACAGCCACTACCAAGCAAATGAAAACCCTCCTTTCAAGCTAAATACATGAATGAACAAATTAAGAAATTGCACCAAAACAAAAACCACAAACAACAAAAAAGTGACCACAATAGAGAAATTAGTCCCATTCGGTCTCAACATCTCAGACCACAGTCCCAACTTCCCAACCGAGCCAGGAAACCTTCCCAACGGCATGGGGCGCGCGGCTCGCGAGTGACACCGCTGCCAAATTAGCAGTGGCTGTGCCACTTGCCACCCGCTGAATGGCACGTGGCCTCCATGCCCCTTCAGAGGACCTTGGGCTACGTCGCGCAGCAACAGAGGCAGTGCAGCAATATTACCTCTGAATTCACCAACCCGCATTGGCCGGTGTGACGAAGTATGGTAAACTAACGCCCTTCTCCCCCTCCCCATGACCTGAACGGCGTGGGGAAGCCCCCATCTCGCAGCGGATTGACAAATGGGCTATACGCATCCGTATACGTACGCACATTTGTTGGGACTTCTTTCGCACCGCACGTGGATCGAAAAACTCATTACAACTAATTACAACTGCTTTTTGTGTTTCAGTTTGTTGCCCTTCCCCCCGCACGTCCAATGAGCACGATTGGCTACGCACAGTGCGAAAGAAGCTCAACGTACACACATACGCACGTAGTCGACCATAATTATCGCTGCTGCTGCTGCGCTATCGTCATCGGAGACGCGTGCAGCTCTCTCGAACTTTTTGTTGTTATGGCAGCTCCTGAGCACGGCCGCCAATGGCTTTTAGCGCCGAGCGGCGATGCTAATAAAATCACCGGCAATGAGCGTGGCCGATGGGAACCGGCGCATTTCTCAAGTTGTGCGAGGTCATAGGAACTTGGGCTATCTGTGAGTAGCAGAGGGTGGTTTGGTAAAACCCGTTGTTGCACTGAACTTGTATGCTCCCACACCCATGCTACATGTGTTCGCCAACCCGTACGGCGGCAATAGGTGCTCGTGAACAGCGCTTGCCCCAGGAGCCTGTTCAATGGATCTTTGTGTCCTGGTGCGGTGTGTAAACATTACCACTGGGGAGACAAAGGCGGCCGGGCGTGTTGTTGGCCACCCACCTCGTCATGTGCCGTGGCGGCCTTCGTAGGTGCTCGCTAACAGCGCTTGCCCCAACAGTCTGTTCAGGCTATGGGGGGGGGGTGATCTTTGTCTTTTTTGGTGGTTTGCGAGCTGCACCATGAGCACAGTGAACCAAGTTCGAGATGCCGAATATCCGAACCGGTCCTGGGTCTCTCCAAGGTTGACCTGGTGCGGTGGGTGTCTAAACGTCAGTACTGGGAGAGAGACAAAGGCGGCCGGGCGTGGCGCTGGCCATCCCGTCCCCTCGTGTGCCACAGTGCCGGCCTTCGTAGTTGCTACTCGCTAACAGCCCTTGCCCCAGCGGTCCGTTAAGGCTGTCGGGGGGTGTCTGTCTTCGTGTGTGTGGGCCCACCACTCAGGTGCTCCTCCAGCAGGTCCAGCAGCTGGGGCAGCTTCATGATCTCGAGCTGCAGCTTCTCGAGCTCCGCGTTGCCGAGCCCCGTCGCCTTGAGGTGCACGTTCACCAGCGTGAAGTCGAACCGCCCCGCCTGACCGCGTGCACGCACGCCGGCAATAAACATCAACGACAAACATCGACAAACATCGACAAACATCGACAAACAACGAAAAAAAATCAACAAAAATCAACGAACATCAATAAAGAATAAACATCAACGAATCTCAACAAACATCAAAAAACAACAACGAACATCAACAAACATCAACAAACTCCAATAAACATCAACAAACAACAATGGACATAAACAAACACCAATCGACAAACGTCAACAAACAACAAAAACAGCCAAAAACTCCAATAAACATCAACAAACATCAACAAACACCAACAAACATCAACAAACATCAGAATTAATACTTCCTTTGGTATTCACACCGATCTTCTACCGCAAAGACTATCGATCTATCGGGAAGGCGCTTTGTTTCACGGACGCGCATGGTCTGCCGATGTTGCCAAGCGTTGTTGTTGTTGTTGTCGTTGTTGTTGTTGTTGTATTTTCCCGCGCGCTTCGGCGACTAGTTAAATAAGCGAGTGATTTTTTTTGCTTCATGAAATTTGACACCGGCATAGTCGGCCCACTCTTGTTTCGCAAAGAGTCACGGGAATTTTCAAGTTCCGCTGCGAATACAACGGCAGCAGTAACCAGGGCGGCCGCCGTGCTCGATACGCGAACCCATGCAGCAAGCGGCTTGGCTGTGTCACCGCCTTTGCAACAAACCACCGCCACAACAATCGTGGCGGCTACTTGTCTCCAAGTGGCCGTGAGATCACAACGATGCCTGTGCCAGGCTAAGTGGACCATGGGACGTGTTGGAACTGTGATGCGCTGGTTTAGCAAGCTGTGTTGCGAATCAGCTCACTTGGGCTTGATTTAGTTCAGGAACCTGGCCCTGCTTGGCCCCAAGTCAGATTCAGATGTCTTCTGTGAGGTCAGCATAGCACGGACATTAGTTCCGGCTCGGCATGGCAAACAGCCAATTAAAAAACAACCTGCACAGACAGGGCCTCACGCCGACGCGGCTCTGATTTGCAGTGGAAAAAGGGTTGTTTGTTTTTGTCTGTGGCTGTACGCACCTTAAAGTAGCCAAGGTACGGGTAACGAGCAAAGTGCTTGCTCCCCTTCTTCTTCCCGACGAGGCCCTCGCTGAGCAGCTCCAGGCCTGACGAGGCATCCCATAAGAAGCCCGCGTACTCCATGCTCTGTGGCCACACGTAAGCACACGCACACACAACAAAGACGACGATCCCCCATTTAGCCTTAATGGACTGTTGGGGCAAGTGGTGTTAGTGAGTAGCACCTATGAAGGCCGGCACGGCACACGAGGGGGTGGGTGGCCAGCACCACCCCCGGCCGCCTTCGTCTCCCCAGTGGCGATGTTTACTACACACCGCACCAAGAATGGCTGAGTCAACCCTGGGGAGGCCAAGGGCCAGTTCGGATATTTGTCACTGATGTTGGCGGAGAGTGGGGAATCCAACTCGGGTCCTCGGGTAGGTAGCGCAACGCGCTAACTGCTACGCTGCCGCTGCCCCACGAGTGGTCTTGATTAGTGGTGGCCCCACAGCAAAAACGGTTGAGAACCACTGCAGTATTCTTCCGCTCCCCGCACCCACACACACGCACCCATGCACACGCACCCGCACCCACACACACGCACCCACACACACGCACCCACACACACGCACACGCACCCACACACACGCACCCACACACACGCACCCACACACATGCACCCACGCACCCATGCACACACGCACCCACACACGCGCACACGCACCTACGCACACGCACGTGCGCCCGCGTGCCCCAGCGAGTGGGTCCTCAGACGGGGCAAAGTCTCCACGCAACGTCGCCTCTCTAGGCCAGTGCTCCCAAGGCAGCTCAGTGTGCAGTGAGAAACACAGTCTCGACCACCATCAAGGCCTTCATCACCATGCTCGGAGATTAAGTCCAGCCGGGCCTGTCGGCGTCGGCGAGCCGGAAAATATTTCCGCGCCCGGCACACCACGTCCAGTATACTTCTGGCTATGGTTCCGGCTACTAGTCATGTCCTGTCTGTAGGACTACTCCAGTCTACCAGGAGAAGCCGAGTGAGTAGCAGTTCGGATGTCACTTTGCCACGGGATGTCAGCCACGGCCGAGAATGGTTCACCGCTGAATCTCGGAACGCACAAGCGGTTAGCATGAATGTTATTTAGAGAGGCGAAGTGCCGCTGTTTTTAAAGACACTGTACTCACCTCACACAGCCGCACTCTAACGAAAGCTGGCGCCGAACTGTGCCACACGACCCACCCGCATGGCTGTATAACTTTATGCACGTCATCGGAACGGGAAAATATGGTTAAGCAACATTAGCAGCAACATTAGCAGCAGCAGCAGCGGCGGCGACGACGGCAGGTTCCTCACCTGGTACATGGGTCCCGTGGGGTTCTCGGAGACGACGCAGCGCCAGTCTCCTTGGGGCCTTGGCCAGTCGCGGACGGAGCGCAGGCTCGGCGCGTTGAGCTCCGCGCACAGCTGCGGTGGTGGCAGAGGGGCGGCAGAGGGGCGGCACCGCGTTAGAGCGACGACGCGAAAGTGGCTCCCGTGCGTTGCGGCTTAGAGCGGCAGTGGCGAATTGGCGTCTCCCGAGCCGCCAGCGGCTGTTTAATCCACCCACACGCGGCTCTATCGGAGGGGCGTAACGTAGCATGCGCTATCACAGCAGCAGCAAAGAATTATGAACGTCTCTCTTGCTGTGCCGAAAACTGTCACTACATACACATATATACACACACTTGGCTCTTTGCCAAGTGTGTATATATAAGTGTGTATATATACGTGTGTATATAAGTGTGTATATAAGTGTATTTATAATTGTGTGTGTATATATGTGTGTGTATATATAAGTGTGTGTATATGTAAGTGTGTATATATAACAACAGTCTGGACCACTGGACGGGTTCCGCAGGATTGGAAGGATGCCCTGGTGGTCCCCCTCTTTAAGAAGGGGGACCGCACAGACTGTAACAACTACAGGAGCATCTCACTCCTCAGTGTGCCGGGAAAGGTCCTGGCAAGGATTATTCAACATCGCCTCGCCAGGCACGCTGAGGAGAGGCTTGCGGAGCCCCAATGCGGTTTCAAGAAAGGGCGGTCCTGCACAGATGCCATATTTTCTGTCCATCTGCTACAGCAGAGGTGTAGGGAATTCCAACAAGACCTACATCTCTGCTTTATTGACCTGGTCAAGCCCTATGATACCATCAGTAGGCCTGGGCTCTGGGTTGTTCTTCGAGCTTTTGGAGTCCCTGACCCTCTGCTCACGATCATTAAGGACCTTCATGATGGTGAGCGGTCCCGGGTAAAACTACGTGGCCGGGAGTCAGAGCCATTCCCTGTACACCTTGGGGTGCGACAGGGATGTCCTCTGGCTCCCACATTATTTAACATATATTTTGACCACGTAGTTCGTGAAGCCTTCAATAGCTGTACCGGGGGAATCTCCATTTGGTATAGATATAATGGGAGGCTGATCAATGCCCGGGTGCGGTCAAGGGATGACTCCCTATTGCTCAACCACGTTATGTATGCTGATGATTTGGTAATAGCTGCTCATTCAGAGGAGGAGTTGGAGACGCTGCTGCTGAGACTGGAGCGTGCCACTAAGAGATGGGGCCTTACCATCAGCCCCACCAAAACTAAGCACCTGCCTAGGTATTTTGTACCATCGGACACTCCACCCCCACAACTCCCAATCGGTGATGGGGCAGTTGTGGAGAGAGTGGAGAGTTTCCCATACCTGGGCAGTGTGCTTATGACCGGCTCCAGTTTAACAGCAGAGGTCTCACTCCGAATCAGTTGAGCGGCAATATCTTTTCATCGGTTGCGTAATGCTGTGTGGAAGCTACCTGGTCTGTCGCTCTGCACTAAGCTTCAGGTCTTCTCGGCCACGGTCATTCCTTCCCTTCTCTACGCATGCGAAACGTGGACCCCCTTAATGGAGCATCTTCGTCGGTTAGAAACATTTAGGCTGGCCTGCCTACGATCCATCCTGAGTTTAACCAGGCTGGATTGTGTGAGGAGCTCAAAAATCCTTGAAAGATCTGGGCAAGGTCCCATCGGTGAGCTCCTCCGGCAGGCAAGGCTGCGTTGGCTGGGTCATGTAGCCCGCATGCCCAGCCACCGCATGCCGAAATAGCTTTTGTTCGGCCGGATCGAGGGGGCTAAACGGGCGCGGCACGGGCTAGAGAAGAGATGGAGTGATGTGGTACAGGAGGACGTGGAGCTAAGTGGACTTGCCGATGACTGGTACCAGCGGTGTCAAGATCGGCCTCTGTGTAGGAGGCTCGTGAAGGACGCTATTGGGCAGTTGGAGGCAGTCGCCCTCCAACAACAACGAAGGGCGGAGAAGCGACGCTCACAACAACGAGCGGAGCGCCGGGTGGCTAAAGCACAGCAGGTTGGCACAGTAGGGGGCACAGGTGGTGCACCAGCCAGTCATCTCAGTCAGTCGACCCGTGGCACCTGGGTCTGCCCCGTGACCTCCTGCCCGCGGGCGTTCGACACTTCACGTGGCCTCAAGGTGCACATGGCCTGGCACAAGCGTCGTGGTGACGTCACCACCACTTAGTGGCGAATGGCGGTTGTTGTTGTTGTATATATAAGTGTGTATATATAAGTGTGTATATATAAGTGTGTATATATAAGTGTGTGTATATGTGTGTGTATATATGTGTGTGTATATATACGCATGATAGTGTAGCGGTTAGCGCGCTGCGCTATAAACCTGGCGACCCGGGTTCGATTCCCGCTCACGACCAACACCAGTGACGATTATCTGAACCGGTCCCGGGCCTCTCCAAGGTCGACTCAGCCTCAAATGAGGACCTGGTGCGGTGTGTAAACATCGCGACTAGGGAGACGAAGGCGGTCGGGCGTGGTACTGGCAACCCACCCCCTCGTGTACCGTTCCTGCCTTCATAGGTGCTCGCTAACAGCACTTGCCCCTACAGTCTGTTCAGGCTATATGGGGGATCTTTTTCTTTTTGTATCTATAAGTGTGTACACATGTGTGTATATATAAGTGTGTATATATGTGTGTATATATGTGTGTATATATAAGTGTGTATATATAAGTGTGTGTATATATAAGTGTGTGTATATATAAGTGTGTATATATAAGTGTGTATGGCTACTTGGTCTGTTACAGGTTCGCCACCCCTGGTTTAGAGTCAGATGTTCTACGTTCAACTCTCAATTACCCAGGGTAATATGGGGGGGGGGGGGGGGTATCCCATCAGTGGTTCATGGTTGCCAATGGAGATAAACTCCACTCCAAGCTTGTTTGGAGCATGGAGACAATTGGACTTGACCGGCGAGAATAGTGAGTTTATCGTTTTAAAACGATTGTTTTAATGATCTTGTAACACAAACTTACCCACAGATATTTTCTCAAAATAAAAGAGGGTTGTTTTCTAAAAATGAAAGAGGGTTGTCTATTTTGGAGATTGTCAAAACTTTGACAAACAACGAGAGGGGTGTCTTCATAAACAAAGATCCCCCGTATAGCCTTGACAGACTGTTGGGGCAAGTGCTGTTAGAGAGTAGCAGCTATGAAGGCTAACACAGCACACGAGGGGGTGGGTGGCCAGCACCACACCCAGCCGCCTTTGTCTCCGCAGTGGCGATGTTTACTACACACCGCACTAGGTGCTCATTTGAGGCTGAGTCGACCTAGGGGAGGCCCAGGACCGGTTCAGATAATCGTCACTGGTGTTGGCCATGAGCAGGAATCGAACTCAGGTCGCCGGGTTCGTAGCACCGCTAAACCACCGCTCCCCACCATATACAGTAAAACCTTGGATTGCGAGCATAATTCGTTCCGGAAACGTGTTTGTAATCCAAAGCACTCATATATCAAAGCACTCGCATATCAGTTGTGATCACGTGACGCTTCGCAGACAAAGCGTATACGTACTGCTCGTATTGCAAGACCTCGCTCGTTTATAAAAATTAATATTTACGTAAAAAATTTGCTCGTCTTGCAAAACACTCGCAGACCAAGTTACTCGCAATCCAAGGTTTTACTGTATATAGAAACACACACACACAGTAATCAATGACCAAATCACCAGGAATGCGCTCGATGTCATCAGATCTCGTAAGCTAAGCACAGGTGGGGCTGGATACTGCTTGGATGGGATGGGTGGCCATCAACCGCGACAATCACCATGCACGCCAAGTTGCCATTGGTGGTTTACGGGATTGTGTCACATACACAACATTAGCGTCACTCTTACCTTCTGCAAAGCGACCTTATCTGCCAACTCCTGCACGGCCAGAAGCTTGATCCTGCAGTTAGAACATCCCAGCACGACGAAGCAAACATTGACACATTACCACCGGTGGTACCACTTGAGCTACGGCCGTTTATAATCTCATAAAATATGCAAGCCTACGACTAAGGCTAAAGATGTTGGGCACAGTAATTTGCATTAAATTCATTACCTAGCTGTGGGAAAACAAACTAATAATTCACAGAAAGGTGCAATTGTTTATGTTTTCGAGCCATTTTTCCGAATATTTCATGCTTTAAGATTCACAATTTGCGTGACACGTGTGCCCTCTTGCAGGCCACCAACATATCTGTGCGGAGTTGCAGTTGCTCTGGCCACACATCTTAATCTGCAGAGTTAAGATGTGGCCAGTAGGTGGCAGTACAGCAAATCCCTCGCTGCCTCTATCTGTAGGTTCAGACCACCCATCACTGCTGTGAGCCGTGGCTGGGAATCGAACCGAGTCTGTTTCACCAACAACAACAACAACAAAAGAAATATAAAACGTTTATAACTATCCGTAAAAACAACTTGTTTCGTACATTTCTATATTTATTGTTTTACAATCTATAAACCACTCAAGCAATACGTCAGTTGGTGTGTTGTGCATAAACACCACACGTAATAATGATCCAAGTCTGGGGATGACAGCCTATCATTCCTGTTGGGGGCGATAAAACTAGCACCGATTTATGGGAATTTAGTGGTCATCCTTCAGCATATATGGCTGTCACGATGAAAACGCGGAATTTCCGCGGGCTCAGAACAGCATGCAGAAATAAGCATTGCACAAATGTGGAATGCAGACTTCAATTGTGTGATCAGCGCCAAAAGAATGTTACCAAACAGGAATCGAGCAATGGCAACGATCGTGGCATGAAACAGAGGCGGGGTGGGGGGAAGGTGATCGGGAAAACGATTGCAGCAATGGAGTGGAAAAGACGCTCTCGAATGGAGAGGAATGACACACCGAAACATCAGCAACAGGTAGCATATGATGATCGCCAACAGAGGACTGCTGTCAGAGGGATCGTGGACCCAGTGGCCTTCAACAAAGGCGCTGGGACAGGAAGCCGAGAATGCTCATTTGAGCCAGGAAACATTTTCACTCTCACCAACAGAGGGGGCAAATCCTATGACGCCGTGACCCCGTACTCTTTCAACGCGTAGTAGTTGGCTTTTGCGACCAATATTATCCACAAAAAAGGTTTTGTTGGGTCAGATCGCGTAGATACATACGCGTCGTTAAACCCGCCACCACCCGACACAGCCAATTAGTAAGGTTTGTCACCAAAACAAAGCGTGCCAAATCGTTACTAGTACAGCACACCGGTGTTTTGGAGAGTAGACCAACAACATTTACAATTCAAGTACCGTGACGTTTTCGCTGGTGATTGCAACAACCGGCTTCATCAGGCGACAGCCAAAAACTGTGAAGTCCACCTGTTTCCGTCTTAAACCCTTACCCTTGTTCCAGCAGCGTGAGGCACACCACCTCCCTCACGCCATTGTTGTCCATCTTGTCGGCCGAGCAGCACTGCAGGTTCCAGCTGGCGACACGCACGGCCGGGCGACCCCGCACGACCCCAGAAAACGACTCCACCTGGGGCCTGGGAATGGGCGCCGGGAAGTCAGGGCCCAGGCACGGGCACGTCGGGTAGCAGAGGCCGTCGGGGGCGATGACGGCGGGAGGGCCGCCGCCCCCGTCGCCGGTCCCGCCGGCGCCTTCTCCCCCTCCGCCGACGGTCAAGGAGGGCCGCAGCCTGTCGACGAACGCCGCGCTGATGCCCTTCACTTTGGCCAAGTCATCGACGGTCTGGAAGGGCCCGTTGGCCGTGCGGTACGCGACGATGTTCGCCGCCGTCTTTGTGCCGATGCCCTTGATCGTGGTGAGCTGGGCCTCGCTCGCCGCGTTGAGGTCGACCGGCGAAGCGGAGCCGTCCACGGACTCGACGACGTCCGCCGAATTCACGCTCGGAGGTCGAGAGCTGACGTCGGATTGAGGGGTATTTTGGAACGGAGGATTCGAAGGCTCCACGCAGGACAAGGTGTCGCCCATGGTTTCGGGCGGCGATTCTTGTCAGGCCTCCGAGCAGCAGCACGCGTGGAAAGTTTGGTCTGAAAAATAACGATCGTCCGGACGAAGTTTGGCACCGTTCACTAATTTATACTCGAGTTAAATTATGACTTATTCGTGATTAGTTTGTGTCTTGCCATTTCACAACAATGCAATGAAAGCAGCACTGATGTTTTGTTTGCTTATATATGAAAACAAAAGATGTTTCGCTATTTCTGTTTTTGCTATACGCAACAAGTTTCAGTGGTCAGTCCATACACCCTGAGCACAGTGGCTGTCAGAGTGGAATATTAATCATGGGATTGTGCACTAGTGCTCTAGACAGCCTAGCGCAAGGGTTACCTAATTTTCCCAGGATCGGTCTCTTGTAGCTCCCATCTTGCGAAATCTCCAAGGCTCCAACAAACATACAGGTTCTGCCCCAGTGCCAATCTTGTGAGATAGTCTTTCTCCTGTATATTGTGGCTGCTTTTGTACCTCAAGGGCAACAGCCCTACCGGAGACTTCTGGAGACTTCTTCACCTGTGTGCGAGTCAAGCCAGACCCTGTACAGACTGAGTTAACCTCCGGCTTTCCCCCCCCCCACCCCCTCCTCGAAACTGGGAATGTCGCTATCGAGCAAAACTTTGCGAGCGCACCACCGACGGCCGCTTGGTTGCCGCGCGCTGCGAGCGTGACATTGGGAAAAAAAGGGGGGTTATCGTGCGCCGCGCGGCGTTGCGTAACGTGCCGAGTTGTTTTGTCGGCGACACGACGGCGAGCGGAGCGGCACACGTAACGCGCCCGGGCCTTGGATTACAGGTCGCTCCGCACGCGGTATCGTGTATCGCGCCCGGGGGGATTTTTGCGGGGATCGGACTCCGCGAGCGCCATGTCAGACGGAGGGTCGTGCCGAGCGCCGGGAGCCGCGCTGCCGGCGATCGCGCTCCACGTCGCGTCGAGATTCGCGTGGCGTCTCGCGTGGCGTCTCGCGTGGCGGTCGGTGCATGGGGCGCCATGTCCTGTATCGCCACGGGGTGTTGTGCGCGGTGTGTTGTGCGTCCTCGCGTCCCCGGGGACACCGAGAACAGCCGCCGTGGCTTATCAGAGAATCTGGCCCCGAGTCGATCATCTGGTTGTCACGAGTGTGCCCTGGGGAGGGCGGCGACGGCGATTGTGCTGGGACCGAAGGGGGTGGGGAGTGGATGAGTAGCCTGACAATTTTGCCCACTCGGGAGTAATTGCCGTCAAAATTCCTTTACGAAAGAGCAACTGACATGAGAGAACGTACACGGAGTAAGAATCAAGGCGACTAAGCCAGGTCAAGGACATGTGACCGGGGTGAATGGCGACCGGCTGCCGACAGTTGGTAAAGGAGGGAAACACTGGGAGGTGGTAGGGGATGAGAAGGAAGCCACGAATCTGACTGCATGTCAATCATCAAACTTCAAACGCTGCACGGTTTCGAAGCTGCCTCGGTTGTATGACGCAGCGACAAAACAGAGGAAAGTGTAAGATGCACAATGCAAGGGAGATATCGGTGAAGGAAATGGGTCCCATCGCAGGGCGCATGATGCAACCCGGGACGGGGGCCCCCTTTCCCCACTGAACCCCGAGTCTACACGAGGTGGATCCCCGTACCGCACGCTCGCCGACAGCTCCCTGGAGTTCATATTCTTGGTTCTTTCGGTAAAGTCACGTAGAAGGGATTGCAATCGAAACGTCATCATGACAATGATGATTGCTTGTGTTGCAATCGAAACGTCGTGAGAATGTTATTGTTTTATTTGTATTATTTGTATTATTTCCCTACTACGTGACTTTACCGAAAGAACCAAGAATATGAATCCCTGCAGTCACGAAAGCTTTACATCGAAAAAGCTCCTTGGAGGTGAAGTTTCCTCCTCCAAAGAATCACGCATTTGGGATAGTCCCCTCGGCGAAATCGTCGTGTGTGCGACTAAACCCGTTGGGTAGTGGGCTGTGGCTGCAGACAAATAATGCCCTTTCCCACACGTGAATTCCCGTCAAAACGAATTACAAATTGAAGATGAGTTCTTGAAAATTGGACGTGGCCTATATTTTAAATGTAAAATGTGAACTTCGAAATCGTTTTTTTGCTCCCGTGAACACCAAATCGGGAATCTAGAGTTCCTCAAAGTCGATCTTCAAAGTCACGTGGATACAAGGATTCCACCACAGGGCAATCTGGGTTCAAACATCGTCATTTTCCTTTCCTCCATGTGAACACACGTTATTTTGAAAGTGACATTTTCAAAACCGAGCTTCTCCTTTGAATCATATAGAGATGTATGTACTTGCTCTCTTGTATCATCAGCATCCATGGCCAATCCACTGCTGGATGAAGGCCTCCCCAAGCCACAGCCCGTGATGTAATAATCCACCTTGCACCTACACACTAGCTGATTTCATCACTCCATCTCGGAAGACATTCTCTCCACGTTCCATTCCTCGACTACCGATACATTATTAATAATTTATTATTCTTGACCACCAGCCATCATTCCCTGCTAGAATAGCCCTGCCCAAGAAGTCCCTGTCCTTTTCTTGACGGTCAATGTGATCTCACCAACCTGCATAAGTTATCTAGTCCACATGTTCCTCCATGAACCATTCCGTCAAGTCCAGTAACCCATTTGCTCTGTCAACGACAACGCTTTGGTAATGTTCTGACCTGCCCCTGCTTGGGCATCTGTGAAACAGAGCTTCATAACTCTTCGGATTCCTCCAGTATAAATAAACATTCAGATTCTGAACCACAGATCATAGCAGTGCATCGTACACACTTGAATGTATCCTAGCTCACAGTTGCAAGACAGACCTATTGCCTCATTGGGCACTCAGCTGCCTCTACGTTTAAGGAAAAACAAAACCACCATAGGGAATTGTACCATTGGCCAGGCTGTAGCATCCGTCAGACTGAGTGGCACCGTGCGATGAGGGCTTCACAAACGTCTGGCCGCTAGCCAGGATCAAACCAACCACCGGATGCACCTGGCTTGTGGGTAGAACGGTATACGCTTAGCAGGGAGGGAGATTAAGTCAGGATAAGCCTTGTGAAATGCAAAACGCAGACGTTATCAGAAACTGTCGTTACGCAATATAAAATAATCCCACCCTGGTGAAATATGTGCAGAGACCTTATGCTCAAACATCTAATCCACCGCCCCTTCGTGAATCCATGGCTAAATGAAGGCTTCATTATGCCTCGTCAGTCATGGGGGGTGAGGAAAGGGTTATTTGACCATACTTCACCACACTGCTAAGTGCAAGTTGGTGAAGGGTGGGTGTCAGAACCTCTTCAAATATCACTCGCCACTGGTGTTGGCCGTGGCCGGGAATCTAACTCAGGTTGCCGTTTTCAGAGGCATAGTACGATACCACTGCATGACCACCATCCCCCCTATAAATGTTGTATATCGTGCATTGTACATGTACGCCATACATACGCGCCTAACTGGGTGCGCCACTGTTGGCAGAGAACTCATCACAATCATGTGGAAAGTTCAATCAGAATCTTTAAACAAAATCTGTATCAGAATCTTTATTTATCCTGGAGAAATCCGATGAGCCATGAAGCTCTTTTTCACAGACGTCCAGGTGGGAGTCGACTTGGCACATTGTCAACCTCTGGAGAAATTGGCCTCCACCATGGGAATGTGTAATTTCCACTGCTGGCTGTAGGATCACCATTTGACATGTGTACGGTCCGAACGCTCTTCTGAGCAGCTGCTTTGTCATGTGCATATACTCGCCATATTTTATATTTAGTTTGTTGTCGTTCCCCTGCACCTCCGATTACCACGGTTGGCTACGTACTGTGCGAAAAAAGTTCAACATACGGTGTTTGGTACAAATCGATACACGTATAGAATCAGTAACCAGTAACAAAGCTTGGCATGCTTTCCCATACAGTGAGGGAAAGAAGTATTTGATTCCCTGCTGATTTTATACGTTTGCCCACTGACAAAGAAATCATCAGTCTATAATTTTAACGCATGTCAAAAATTTTATAAATTGATTTGCATTTTAATGAGGGAAATAAGTATTTGACCGCCTCTCAATCAGAAAGATTTCTGGCTCCCAGATGTCTTTTATACAGGTAACGAGCTGAGATTAGGAGCACACTCTTAAAGGGAGTGCTCCTAATCTCAGCATGTTACCTGTAGAAAAGACACCTGTCCACAGAAGCAATCAATCAGATTCCAAACTCTCCACCATGGCCAAGACCAAAGAGCTCTCCAAGGATGTCAGGGACAAGATTGTAGACCTACACAAGGCTGGAATGGGCTACAAGACCATTGCCAAGCAGCTTGATGAGAAGGTGACAACAGTTGGTGCGATTATTCGCAAATGGAAGAAACACAAAAGAACTGTCAATCTCCCTCGGCCTGGGGCTCCATGCAAGATCTCACCTCGTGGAGTTGCAATGATCATGAGAACGGTGAGGAATCAGCCCAGAACTACACGGGAGGATCTTGTCAATGATCTCAAGGCAGCTGGGACCATAGTCACCAAGAAAACATTTGGTAACACACTACGCCGTGAAGGACTGAAATCCTGCAGCGCCCGCAAGGTCCCCCTGCTCAAGAAAGCACATATACATGCCCGTCTGAAGTTTGCCAATGAACATCTGAATGATGCAGAGGACAACTGGGTGAAAGTGTTGTAGTCAGATGAGACCAAAATGGAGCTCTTTGGCATCAACTCAACTCGCCGTGTTTGGAGGAAGAGGAATGCTGCCTATGACTAAAAGAACATCATCCCCACCGTCAAACATGGAAGTGGAAACATTATGCTTTGGGGGTGTTTTTCTGCTAAGGGGACAGGATAACTTCACCCCATCAAAGGGACGATGGACGAGGCCATGTACCGTCAAATCTTTGGTGAGAACCTCCTTCCCTCAGCCAGGGCATTGAAAATGGATCGTGGATGGGTATTCCAGCATGACAATGACCCAAAACACACAGCCAAGGCAACAAAGGAGTGGTTCAAGAAGAAGCACATTAAGGTCCTGGAGTGACCTAGCCAGTCTCCAGAC